GTAGATCTTTTAGTATTTTCAGAATCTTCATCTTCAAGTAATTTCTCAATTTTTCGCTGGGTTGATGAAGTGAATCGAGAAGCCATTCTTACTTCACCATCCGTGAACTTGACATTGCTCCACCGGAAATCATGCATTGCCCATGCAACCTACAGATTATTCACTAATCTGTAGGTACAGATTAGTGAATAATCTGTAGGTTGCGCTGTTTCCCAGAATTAACTGTGGGCATTTAGTCGATGAGAAGACAGATGGTGACGACAACGTATAATAAATAAACTTACGTGCATCCTTCTGGGAGAATGATGCGCAATGCAAGGTTGTCAACAACAAACTCATCATAGATATGGTCAATTACTCTCATCTTCAGAACATATTTGCTGCCTATAAAATTAGGAAAAAACTAAGAAACCAAGCACTCATTTTCTTTTTCATAAATTTATATACAGAAATGGCAGAACACATAATCAACACAATCCTGTCTGAAATGTTACAAGTTGGTCACAGACTTATCATTTATCCCACTATCTTTTGATATACATGATAAAGATTCCCTTTAGTAATGGCTAGAGTTCACACCAAATCAAGTACAATCCTTGAACTTGAAACTATGTTGATAAAGTTTGTCAAAACATTTATTTTGGTAGCAATCCTCCTTCACTAATAGCAGGGATAAAACAAATAATTAGATGAAAAATCAGTTTTCAACTGACTTTTGAAAAACAAAATCAAAGTAAACATAAGTATCAATCAAAACAAGGTTAACAATATCATTAACTAGTAAGAAGAAAAAGTACAAACAGGTAGTCTGGTAAGATGGTTATGCAAATTTTCTGAACCATTCACACAACGGTGTGATTAGTTCATGTAAAACCAAAGCAATCTAGGATCACTTTTGATAATCCTTTTGATAACTGCTCTTAGTTGTAAACATAAATCTTCTTCACACATATGTTTAATATGTTTGTTGTTGTTTGATAAATCTTCTGTAAAACAGAACCTGGCATCATAAATCAAACAAAACATTCTCCTCTTCAGCAAAGCTGACCACTTACCCAGGTTGTATAGATACTCGTAGCTGGGAACATTATAACCCATGTAGAACCTTGTTTGCCAGCCACCAAACAAAGGAAACCTTGGTCGCAACTCCAACTCGACTGAATCCTCTTGAGACCACAGGTTGCTGGTGGAGATGTTACCAATTTCATCGCGATAATACACATCACTGGCAGATGCCGGTAGAACAGACTTAAAAGACTTTATTGAAGCAGGAGCTGGGGTACGTTGATAGTCATACCTTGAAAATGGACCCTGCAGGTCAGATATAAGTGTAGAGGAAATTAACAGTTACAAAATAACAACATTCTTCGATTAAATAACCAGAAACGTGAGTTAAGCACCGGCCTAATAGGCCACTAGGCTCGGAGACAGACTTTACCTTTACCTCTAAATAACCACAACTACAAGTAGTGCTGTTTGAAACCGTAGAGATTGGGGTAATGGCATTCATGAACCACCAGGACAAAATGCATGTTTAGCCCATGTGCATGCAATGGAAAAAAAAAAAAGATCATCTCAAGAAGCATAAGAGGCAAAAGTCTGGGATAAATTGGTCGCATGCAGAAAATGCAAAGTCAAAGCCATAAAAAAATCCTACATGGAACATTCTTAACCTTCACCAACCCAAAGATATGTTAAATGGTCACTCCAGGAAGTTCCTGGCTTTCACAGATTTGAAGTTCTGTATTGTAAGTTTGGAAGAATTTCAGGTGATTTCCCTTACCTGGAGTTCTGCTCCCACATGCTTCATATGGAAGGTTTCTTCCACTGCAACATTGCCCCAATGAGAAACTTCAATTGTTCGTGCCATGTTCAGCACCTGAACTTAAAAACACAGAAACTCACATTTATCTAACTTGTACCCACACCTATATAATCATCATTTATTCCTTGAAACAGAAAAATTTCAGACCAAAGTACTGTAGTAACTTTCTTATTAAGTTTCAGAAACATCCAATAGACTGAAACTTTACAATATCTTGATCACCTTTTTTCCCAGAATTCTCCACTCGGCGCTTGACTCTTAACTTTTCAACTTACTAGCCAGGTGGCTCTTGACAACTTAGATGTTACAACAATTTCAGTTTGCTTACTAGCCAAACTGGCTGGTGGAAATAAAAAACCACTAGCCAAAACTGAATTTCTACTTGTCTGTAGCTAGTTGGCTGCCATTAGTGTCCAACCCTGCCACTCCTATATGCTCAATGATCAGTTCAACTTGAAAGAAGGATTAACATAATGATCACTCCTGGATGTCCAAAATTAAAGAGATTCAACCTGTCAATGTTTTTAAGGGTTCAAATGAAACTGTAGTAAAACTTGCACCAAGCAAAAACCCATGCAACCCATGCTGGTTTTAACTAAATACAAGTTTTCACAACTTGTCTCAAAATTGTCAGTTATTATTAAGAAAAAGTTGACTTGGGAAGAGTCAAAGGGGAACTGAGGCCTAAAATTGAATCATTTTTAAATTGCAGCTTAGAGCTCAAATATCAATGTTCCCCAAATGTTTTTTTTTTTTTTTTTCAGTCCTTGGGTCCAATTTCACCTCAAAAAAATAGTTTTATGTCTTATTTTGACCTTATAATACGGAAGCTCAGAAAAGCAATGTCAGCAGTTATTTTAGCTTGCTATTAGGTCACTAGTTGCAAAGAGAGATAATAACCCCTTACTCTTCCTTTAAAATTTCAGTATGGCTATGGAGTTGAGGAAGTTGCGCGACTTGTAATGGGGATCAAATTAAAATATTAAATGATACGAGTCCTTCTCAAGTAAGTTCCCCACCACTGACGTCATATTCGACCACTACTAATTGTCTTGAGCCTGGGGTCTTCCAGCCACAAGAGCAGGTAAAAGGTAACTTCAAATTGAATTTTCTTGTAAAAAAACAAAAAGTGGACGAAATTAACCACCTAGACTTAATCTTACTCCTCTAAAGCTACCTCAAAACAAGTGCAAAAAAAAAAAAAATACCCTTCGGTTCCCCTTTAAGAGCCACTGAAAAAAAGTGTGCTTTGAAAATTTGATTCACTGATTTCATTTTCACATCAGCTGAGCAGTTGAGCAACTGTACAGTACATACCGAGAGGAAGGGAGTGTTGTTCTCAAAGTGAACTCTCATGGGACTGATCTGGAAAGCCTCAACATCACTGTAAGGTCCATATGATATGTCATTGTCTGACTGACTAGTGGGTTTAAGCTTGCTGTGGGACTCCACAGAGGATGTTGCCAAGGAAACTGTTGCACTTTGCTTTTTAACAGTGTAAGGTGTGTAGTAATAATGGTTGGAAGAAAAGAGGACAAATTGTTTCTCAGATTGAGTGATTTTAGTAGGGAAAGGAGTCATAGCATGAACAAATACTTCATCCACAGTCAGCTCAACTGAATCTCCTGGTTTCAAGCGAAATCCAAGATCTGCTCTGAAGAACTTTGTTTCCCTAAAACATAGATAATTAAAAAACTAACTTTAAAATGACATGGATAATATAGGGGAAAGTCCAGGTGTTATGAAAGCACACACGTACAAGGTGTACATAAATTTCAAACTTGTTTGATTTGTATTTCTAACCTTTTAGGAATAAAGTAATGTAACCAGAGTAAATGAGAAATTATCAAACAACAACCGAAATTCACATCGAACTACCTCCAAAAAAATTATTTAGCTAGCAATCATTTTAAAAGGTATTTATCACGACATGTAACATCACATATAACATAGTTACTTCAGGAAAAAAAGAAAACAATTGTGCGATCTGTTCGAAGAACTTCTCGAGAACATATAAAGTTAAACAAACACTACAGGGGGCCCATACAATCTATTTGTGTAGCCGACTGTTGTTTTATACTGAATGTACCAGATTTACCGTTTGCCTCACCTATAGTGATATATTGCTGACTATGTACATAAATCATTGATAAATAAACATTGAATTACTTTACCTGTGGTGTATAGTCGTCCTTTTGCCTCAAAAATGTTTTTTTTAGCGATTTTGAATAAGTCTGAGTTCGTCATTAATGTAATGCATAAAAGAAAGACAAGTGTGGAAGCCTTGTTTTGAAAGGGTTCAAGCGCCTGAGCGATTTCCCCCCCNGTATCGCTCTACTTTCAAACTTTGCAGCATTAAGGTCAAAAGATACATGATTCTCCTCGTACCTTCCAATCGAAAATCCATCCAAATGGACCGGAGGCTAGCCCTCGAAGAAAATCAAAATCTCACAGTATTTGAGCGCCTGGGATGCATAGCAAGATTCTTATGTGCCAGCCAGAAACCATCAAGCTGATTGACCAATTCAAAATAACATCATCCAATCAGAAAAGGGCAATAAGCATGACGGTTTCTGGCTGGCACATGAGAATCTCACTATGCATCCCAGGCGCTCAAATACTATGGGATTTTTATTTTCTTCAAGGGCTAGCTCTGGTCCGTTTGGATGGATTTTTGATTGGAAGATACGAGGAGAATCGTGCATCTTTTGACCTTAATGCTGCGAAGTTTGAAAGCAGAGTGATGCAATTTTCGGGGAGAAAATCGCTCGGGCGCTTGAACCCTTTCAAAACAAGGCTTCCATCCCTGTCTTTCTTTTATGCATTACATTAACAACAAACTCAGACTTATTCAAAATCACTCAAAAAAACATTTTTGAGGCAAAAGGACCACTATACACCACAGGTAAAGTAATTCAACATTTATTTATCAATGATTTATGTACATAGTCAACAATATATCACTATAGGTGTGGCAAACGGTAAATCTGGTACATTCACAATAAAACAACAGTCTGCTACACGAATAGATTGTATGGGCCCCTGTGCAAAAACCACAAGAGTAATGCAACAAGACGTCACGCACCTTTAAAAAGATACCTATCCAATCATTATTATTTGTTTCGTTTATTTTATTCGCAAACATAAAAGCTTACCTGTGTGCTTCGATTTCTACTTGTTTCAAAGTTAAACTTGAGTCCTCATCATCAGGGGTCTTGGCCTATAAATCCACAGGGAAAACGTGAGCCATACGAGAGAATTTCCTGTGATTCGATACGTGGCAGAAATGAAAAAGAATTTACAGACAAAAGGTTCTCCTTCACCGTCACACATGGAGCACTTTGTCATAACATAGAAAATAAGCTGAAGAAAACTCACCATAGCTCCAACAAAAGCCAGTTTATCAACAAGAGCTGGTTCGATTGCCAGATGAAAGTGTCCTACGGCAGAATCTCCTCCATTCTCTAGGGTCAAGGAAGTACTGACTTTAGCCAGCTGTGTTGAAAGGTCTATCTTTCGAGAAACCTCACTAATGACTAATCCAGAGTTGAAATCATCTTTTCCGAGAACGCATGATGCAAGGAGTAAGGCAGCAAGTGCCGCTAAGCAAAAAGAGAAACTATTCATCCTCCGATGGAAGAGGATTCTTGCAGACGACTACGTGGAATCGTCAGAGAGGGTTCCAAAGAAAGAGGACGGCGTTGAGCCAAATTTTGAATTTACCTGCTCAGCGGACTCCCACAATATATTGGTACCAATCTCTCCCGTTTCTTAATAATAGTTACTTCATGTAGCAACACATCAGTTATCTTGCTCCTAAAAGAGCGGGAAATTGGCAATCTTTTCCTCTTGCGAATGCAAGTTGAATTTTGTATTGTTAACCACATATTTTAGAAGTTTTATTTGCTTTGATACACAAGGCAGTAAATTTCAGGCTCGCTGCACGTAATTCCGGCGAACTTCTGAAAATAGATTGATTAGAAAACGGGACGGTACAAAACGTGGACCCCCCTTCTGGACCCCCTTCTGGATCCCCTTCTGGACCCCCTTTTGGACCTCCTTTTGGACCTCCTTCTGGACCCCCCTAACTAGATTAAGAAAGGATGAAAACAATAAATACCTGGTGCGACTTAGGTGGTCGTTATCAAAGTGGCATTTCATGCTACAACCATTTGCCTTAATCCTCAAAAAGTGCTACTAGAAATGTTAATTCTCCCGTGTGCTATCATGGGTGCCATTTTGTTTATAAGTCAGAGTGGGGACCTCGGCACAGGGCTACAAAACTTCCGGTTTTTCATCTGATCCTCTGAAAAATTGTGGTCATCCATACAAGGAGCTCTATGGTGGAATGTTGAAGGTAGGTATGTGATTTTTTCGCATTTTGTATGCAATCTTGACATTCCTGAAGTCATCGATAAACAATCGCGATATTTTCTTGCCAAACAATCACACACTTTACCTTCCACATTCCACCATAGAGCTCCGTGTATGGTGACCACAATTTTTTTGGTCAGCGGTGGTAGCCAAGGACATGAGATGATACAATAAAAATGGCGGAATATTCTGATCGGTCGATTAAAGGTTAACGCCATTGAGACCCTCCTGAAGAGAAGTGCATGTGGTCGGTACTCGGCAGACAGAAACGACGCTTTGATCATGATCAACGACCCTGCTCTGATGATGACTTCCGCAAAGACTCTCGAAACGTCAGTCGCTGCTTCCAACAACAGCACTTTTCAAGTCTACTCCCACCAGGAGTATATCAAACTACACAAATGAAATAGTATTTAAATCAGAAACCATGAACGTTTCTTCTTTCTCCCATCATATGCTCGCCACTACCTGTTATTGTGGAATTTCGACTTTTGTGCTATTGGCCTTTCCGATCAAGCACTGATGTCAAAATATAATGCATCGCTGTATCTTATACATCACCGGTGAATTTTAATGCGTTTCCTTGTAATGTCTCAAACGATCCACCTATAATTATTTGTTAATACCTCTGAGTAGCGTCAAAAGTGGGCGCCTAGATAATCGAGTAAAGGCTGATGATCTGCTTACGTGGACCAGATAAATGAAAAGAATTCTCTTGATGAAAAGTGCATCGGGCATCAGCTTTATTACGATCTTTATAGACTAACGACTGAAATTATAAGGGAGTGGAGGCCGTGGAAATCCAGGGTCAAATAAGCCAATGAAAATGGTGTCCTGCTCTCACGTGACCGCTTAGGCGCTCTTGCCTCAAAATTGCCATAAAAAAATAGAAGTGACGTGATCAATTTTAATTTTGACTCCAGAAATTTTAAAAATCTTAAAAGTCGACAGATAGAGGAGTCAGGAGGAAAAGAATCCAACGAGTAATGAAGCCGTTCCTTCATGGCTGGAAATCGAATTGCTGAATAACACTTGACAAAATAATTATAGGGGATGTGCCATGATTGACACCATGACTGTGGCTCGGAGATGGCTTTATTGACCTCACTTTAAGTCAATGAGGTATGTTATGTCTTAGTAAGGCAAATAGAATATTGTTATGGCTTCATTGTATCGGTTTCCAACCATAATGAATACATAAACAACACTGAGTCGATTTCACGTCCATGAATTCCGTCTGTTCCAGACAACGACATCTAACAGTGTTGTTCTTGAGGAACTATCTGTTGTTTCCACAACTGCAGTTTCACCAACTGCCACGAGGAGAGAATGCTGATTTTTGGGAAATCAAAACGATCACAGAATAATCTCAACTCCCACTTATTTCGAATCGTCATTGTAAACAGTTTTAAAAAGATCAATTTATGACAAAAAGTCAAACCAACCACTAGAAATGATAGCATTTAACTTGCTAGGTATCAATAGATTTCACTCAAAAACTGTTTTGGTACCTGTTACGTTACCTGCTGTGAGACGGGAGTATTTGTTATCATGTGCAATCGTTTTCTCGGTCAGTCATTCCAACCGGCACATTAAAATGTTCGCTGAATAGGAAAGGAAAATTGAGTGCCACACGGTCGTTACACATATGGAAAACATTTATCGGGCCAAACAAGTACTTGCCCCCTCCCCGTCGCAGTTCCCCTTCTAAGACACAGTTCACAGATTACGACAAGAAAGGGCTCTTGGAGTTCCTTACAGGAAGTTAAAGCTTACGGCTAAAAACATTATTAAAAATGCAGGAAACTTAGAGCAGCAAACGGAATTCTCTGAAGTGCATTTGTGATTCATCTTGGTTTTGGGAGGCGAAGGAGCAATCCCGTTTCAAACTAAAGAGCACAACTCCTAATCGGATATCAAAATTTTATCATTACAATTGCATCGTAGATTTTAATTCACAATCATGCAGTTTAGCCTGCAATACACTGGATTAAGTCAGTCTAACGTTACAAATACAACTTATATCAATCCCGGCCTAAAACATACTAAGATTATTTATGAGTAAAACTAAGCGATTATAGCCCTTCTGAGTGAAGCAGACTGAATTGCAGCCTACTTGCTTGATAGATGTCTCTTTGTGTTTTTGTAGACTTGTTCATGGAGTTTATCAAGGATTACCTCCTCGGTGCGTAACCCTTACACTGACTCTTGTTTCACCACCATGGCGTCACAAAGGAAGCAACCAAAGTAAACATACTGTAATGAGAGAAGTTTTCATCACCTGTTTTGCGTTTCTTCTAACGCTGACAGTTGGCCATGGAGGTGAAACTTATTACAAAGACGATATATTTGACAAAAGCTGGAGACAACGCTCGAGGGTGTCTCTTTTGAGGAAAGTTCTTTTGCAGACTCATCCTTTTCAACAGCCTATAGCCAAGAAATGGACTACTAGTGAGGAAGATCGAGCCAAATTTCCACAAACATACCTAAGCATTGCCTTGAGAGCAAATAATGAGAAACAAAACAACCTGAAGAGAGATCAGGAAGTCGACAAATTATTTAGACGCCATAATGTCATGGGCTTAAATTTCGACCGAAAGCCAAGACCTCACAGCTCCCTTCATAATAAGGAAATAGAGCGTTTTAGAGAGGTTCTTCGAACGAGAATGAAGGACAAACCCCGTCAGGATATTGAATTTATCGAGGACAGTCAAGACAATGGGGCTAGACAGTACGAGTTGGAAAGTCCACGTTACGATGAGGTTGTAGCAAATGGCAATTCAGAAAATGAGGACCAAAATGGTCTCAGCAACAATTACGTCACAGTTATTGACAACATTGATGGCAAAGACACGGATTCGTATAACACCTTGGGTTCGAATGAAGCCAAACTTGAATATACCAATGTGGCAAATAGTTTGAACGAAGGTGAAAATGAAGAATTTCAAATGGTAGGAAAAGAGGTCAACGACGTGCTTGGTGCGTTGACCAAATCAGATTCCAGAATAAGTCAAGTTATAGATACTCATTTACCCCAGGCACAAGGAGAGTTAAGCTCCAATCAAGTTATGCCCTCGTACGGTGATAAACAAGCGGAGAACGGGACCATTATGGAAAACGGAAGACAGAAACAAAACGACCAGACTCCATTACCTGGGGAGGTAACGATTATTGAAGATGACGAAATGAGTCCAAATGATGAAGAAACACGTCCAGTCCTCAGTAAGCCTATATGGGATGCCATTAAACAAGCTGAGAAAAATGTAACACAGCCATATAGAATCACTCAAACCGTCGGAGCCACCCAATATTTTGACAAAACTGTTCCTTTTCCCACGCAGGAAAACAAAAACAATACATTGCATAACACTGGAAGCGCCCAGCAAGTTCACACAAACGTTACTCGTCAACATAACACCCACAATTGGCACGTTACAAATGGTGAAAACAAAAATCGTACGTTTGCATACTTACCTCCCTCAAAAAAATTTATCGAGAAAAATAACCTTACCCTCGTTAGACATTTTGTTGGGAATCTCGAAAAGAACCTTAAAATTTTTGCAGGATTAGCCGCAGATGACCACAATCTGAAGACGGAACCTAAACCTACCCATGCCAATGTTAAAGATCACGTGCGAAAATTTGTACTTACAGGTAGTGCAGAAGAAGGACCAGACAAAACAACAGCGGGTAACAAAAATAATCATCTCGGGGATCTAACTCCAGGAATAAAATCTAACAACTTAACACTTGAAAAAAACATTTTCCACACCAGATGGCACTTGCACCATCAGAATGACATTTCAAATTCTGCATCAGTAGGGAATAGTAGCAGACCCTTGCCTTCAGGTTCAGGGACCTTTAAGGTGAATGATTCGACTAAAAATATCCATAAAACCGACGGGAAATACCGGAAACCAGGCATCCAAATGGCATTGCCTCTCAAGATAAATGGTCCCACTAGGACAAAAGATGGTGATGGAAGGGTCTCTGTTGGTTATTTGGGGACCCCTGATGTGGGAAGAAGGCCAAACAGTGAGTATGTCGTCCAATTCCCTGGAAAGAAGGTAAATGCTCGCCCCCTCGCTAAGACAAAGGGCTCCAACCATTTCCACATGAGTACAACTCATACAACTGCTCAAACCTCTGGTAAAGGTACAGGTACCGTAAATGATAAGGTGACTATAACTGATGCAAAGCCTCTGTCTCTAGAGCCTTCCGTGGAAGAAACGTTTCAAGCAAAAGTAGCGGAGTCACCCATTCCTCCGGGAAAACCATACTTAGAATCATTACAAGGAATGGGAACACAACGTAAAGAACGTCTTAGCCTGAAAATTAAAGGAAATCAGTTTAATAACCCGCAGTATGGTGGCTGGAAGTTTCCGTGGAATTTAGCAAATCATCAACGAGCTAAAGAGGTTTCTTTGCATGAGATGAATGAATCTTCAACAAACGAATACATGAAAAAAATTCAACACATGCAATTAAACGGTCGGCAACGAAATCATGACCGGCCACTTTTTGTTTCCAATGAGGACCAAAATAAAAATAAAGACCCTATTAAAAGTTTTGTTGGCGTACCATTGCAGCTGGCTCCTCATCAAAATGTACGTAATCCAAACAAATCTCTATCGAGATGGCACGAAGAGTATGAAAAATTAATTGAGAAATTAAGGGACTTGTACGGGCAAGCCCACGGCAATTCTCTCCCAGCACAGAGTGCTAGCTTTAAAAGCAACCCTGTATTGAACGATACCCAACAGATGATGAAGGAGGTTTCCCGTTTTCATTCATTGTTTGCTAGCAAATACGGCGATCAAAAAGAAACCAGAAGAGAAAATGGAATGTTCCTCAAGAACCTGAAAAGTAACGTTAATGAACGGAACTGGAGATACAGAGGGCATATGAGAATATCAGAGGATCCCTCCTATAATTATGGAGCGGATCCTGGAAAGAACAAGGATGTTTCCAACCATGAAGTTTCTTCTCTCAGCTTTGAAAAGAATAGAGAAGTATCAGGTCAAATAAGGAGTATCCAGGCTGAAAATCAGACCTTATTTGGTTTATCAAATTCCGAGGACATGTTCAAACAGGCTCCAAACAATACTGATGTTATAAGCGATAAAATTCAAAACGAATTCGAAGGAAGTGAGCGTGGTCACCAAAGTGACGTAAGCACTACCTTCGTAAACCAAAGGCTGACATCTCAACACAGAAGTATTCCAACACATATCATGAATATGTCAGCTACGGGGGGTGACGGTGTTTCTTCACATCTGGTCCTAATGAGTTACTTCGGAAACGAAACAGATCTTCGCAAGCAACTTCATTTTAGTGATGACTTTGGAAATGGGTCAAACACTTCCATTGCTCCCTCACAAGGCGAAGAAAATCAGCTTGAGAATAACAAAACAAGTAAAATCTCAAATGATATGACCAAGGAGTCTACTCCAAAACTCATTGTCCAGGATGGCACAATTGATAACATCTCTGGGATTCGAAAACAGAATAAAAGTGACGCTTTGGAAGAAGAATCTCTGAAAAAGTATTTAGAAGACTTTATTTCTTTGTTGAGTTCAGACGGAGCCGCTGAAAGGAACGAAACAGCAAAAGATGTCTCGGAAAGTGAATCAGGTCTGAAGATGTCCAGTGGTCACTCAGATCCAATAATGGCAGCCGAGGCTTCAAAAAAGGAAAACGTAACTGATTTGAAAGATAGGGTAATAATTGTAGTGTCGCCACAGTCCATTAAAGAAATTATGAAAAATCGTAGTCACAATTCTCAACAGCCAGTCGTGCACAAAGGGATACCAATAAAAGCTGCGACGGTAGAGAATTCGACAATCACACTAATGCCTAACCTTATTGCAAACAAGTCGAGGGAAGATTTCAAAGAGCATTTTGGAAATGTAACTAGCATGAAAGATCCAACCACCCAAAGCAAGGATTTCAAACGTCCTTCGCTAGTGAAAGTAATAAATAAAACGTCTAACGAAGACAAAGATAAGTCCAAAATTAGGAACGATGATCTAAATGAGCTCTATAAGGAAGAGCTCAAGTCTTTAGAAATATCATTATCTCGGGATTTTATGAATAGTTGGATTTATTACCAAAGATCACTGGACGAAATAGGAATCACACCAAGAATGCTTCGGTCTGGCATAGCCAATCTCGGATCACCCCAAAGACTGAAAAGGGTCTTTAAAAAGGCTCTCACTGGGAGTGATCTGAATGTCCTTGTAGTTGGTGGTTCTATTTCGGCAGGCGGAGGACTTGAAAAGGATCGTGGAAATGTTGAGGGTGTTTACCACAAGGCCTTCAGTGATTGGTGGAATAACACAGTAACACCGATCACAACTTCGGAGTTAAAAATCAGTGCTGTTGCCATTGGTGGAACTGACTCTGAATACTTTTCGTATTGCATACAAAACTATATGAGGTTCCTTCCGGACATAGTTATATGGGAACTGGCAGCTAACGATTACAAACGATATGCGGGCCGAGAATTTGCTCCTGCAAAACCGCTAGAACAGCTGATTAGGATAATATTGAGTTTGCCATCGAAGCCAGCCTTGATACTTGCGAACTTCTTTCGAGGAAACTACTACAAGACCGCTGAAGGTCAAGACTGTCCAGACTCTGAGGACGAGGGAGGAAAGTCCATTGCACAATATTACAAATTAACGTCCTTGAGTTGGAGGAATGTAATATGTTCGCGCGACAAGGAATTGGACCTAAAGAAACTTTTTAGTTCGGACGGATACCACCCAAGCCTTCTCGGACATGCACAAATGTCGACCCTTTTGATCTCATATATCAAGGGTGTCTTCGAGGAAACCATTTCAGAAGAGATGACTCTGCTCAGAAATCATACACCATCGCGTGAAAAGCATGAGATTCCACCATCTTTAGCAGAACCAATATTTGACGATCCCGTGAGCCCTAAACCGTTGTGTTGGACGCTTTTGACACCGGATTACGGTCAAAAGCTGCGAAATACTCTTCCAGATCTAGAGTTTACAGAAGCAACAGGGTTTCAGTTTGCAAACATTAGCCATTGGCCTATTCGGCGTGATCGCTTAAGATGCTTAAAAGCTATCCAAACGGGAGCAATGTTGAAGATGAAGTTTATCGTTCCTCCTTCAGAGAGCCCAGATGGCTACAAGCGGGAGTTGGCGATAACAACCCATAATTCATTTGGGGGATTGGGGTCTCTTTGGCTGGATGGCGACCAACATACTGCTAAAATTATTAAAGAGGAAAATGGACAAAGACGGACTCAAGTGAACGTCTTAACAAAAAGATTAACACCGGGTGTACATACAGTTACGGTATATGCATTGCAACCTGGGTTTTGTCTCTCTGCTGTTGCAGTGTTATGAAAACAAGCGTCACCGAGTACAGAAGGCTAATCGTATCTTCATAACACGACGAGCAGAACCTGGCTTCATGCCCCGGCCACGTTCCACTCTAATTTAAAAAGAATAAAGTATTTGTTCCGCTTTAGGTTTTCATCTAAGGTAGTTACTTCAGTCCGGATCGTTAAGCTAAGATATATTTCATTAGTGGAGCCGGCGTAACACTGCCTATTTCTGGGCATACTGAAGCTACGAGTCTAGCGAAGACCCCAAAATGTGATAAATACTTTATCGACAGTATCACATGGGATCTACTGTCGAGGCATCTCGAACCGATATATCACGAACGTGCACAATTATTGACGCGTTCCAATCGTGAGTGCATGCTATTCACGTAGTTCAATAAAAATGTTTACAGTATATGTTGCTGGTGTCAATGCAGATAGGTTTTATTCCATTAGTGACGTCAACATGGTTTTTCTCTCGACGTTCAAACTATAATGGAACGTTGAATAAAGTGAACATTTTATGATCGATGGTTGATCCTCGGAACATGATAAAACTGTCAGTGCACTAGGGTTCTCTCGAGTCAATAAATTGTCTCAATTCTCAGACTTGCTTGCAAAGTTTACTTTTTTGTTATCATGTTTATGTGCTATTTACATATATTCATATCGTGAACATTTAAATGGTTATTCAACAGGGTGAATTTTGACTTTCATTTGTCCGTACGGTGTGATCATTTTCAGCATCAATGTACTCGACACAATCTTTTTATTGTTGCTAAACCGAGGTTGACCGAAAAACATTGCGAGACAAATGGAGAATGGAATATATCGAATGAGCTGGCATGATTCTGAGGTAAAAAATCAAAGGTAGTGCTAGATCTAGAGGTTTTCATTGAAGGATCTGGCGGAGTGTTCGAAATGCGTTGTTTACCTTTAAAATCCTTTAAGGATTATTTTCATATTCACAAATCTGAAGTGGTAGAATGCCACGATGTCGATAGGTCGTTTAAATACGTATGCGTACACTGTCAAAAGCAGTTTCTTACATATAAATGAGGAGATATCATAAAGAAAAAGTCAGTTGTTTGAATAGTAATATCAGTTACGCATCACGCGCTACAAAAATCCCTACCCTATGAATGCTCACTGAATCTATAATTTCAGCATTCAATGATTATTATATACGGTTTTTAGATTTGGCAGATTTATCCCTTTTTCTCCTACCGTTAAGCGGCTGACATTTGGAAACCATTAAAAGTGCTTACATAAGGACTGTAACAACTAGAATTTGCATTTATATTTGTTGTCAAGCGACTGCGAAATAATTTTATATTCTTTTTCTTTCTACTGTAGTGCCGTTGTAATGCTCTGTTTCTGTTCAATTAAGTTTGTGTTTTTGCGTGAGGTTTTGTAAGAATTACATAACGCCGGTAGCTATTTATTTTCGCCAATATGCGCGTTGCTTTCGTTAAATAACTTTCATTGCTAGTTGATTTCAACTAAGTCAGTCGTTGCGTTAGTTTTTGTCAGCGCCGTGTTTTTATTTAAGAGTTTCACTTCTGGACCTGGTTACGCCACAAATTGCAAGATTTTTTCTATTTCATTTGCTCTTTTGTCGTTTTTCTTGTTGTTGTCATATTTGTTCTTGGATATTTGTATTAATAATTTATTTTTAGTCGAATTACACACACACACATATCTGCAGATCGCTACATCTAAATAGACGTCCATCTTGCAAATGAAGTAAATGTGCATTCGCTTTGTGGCTTTAAACGTGTAGTTATTAAATCTGCAAGGAACAATAACGACGTTTCTTTGTACCTTTCCTTTTAAGACACGCTTGGAAAACGTTAGCAGACATTGCACAATATGTTTATAAATTTTTATTTACGAAAAGGATTTTATCCCTTTTGCTAATTGTCACAAGGCAAAAAAATATTAAAACCGCGTAGAGGTGCTTAGTTGGTTGTTCAAATTTCAGAGTAATGGTGCCTCGAGTGCCCTTAGGATTGTTACTCTCTCTTTCTTGCTGCTTCTTTTCAGATCCCTGGGAATGATTAATGTAAAAGAAACTGTTTTTAGGCTATTTTAGTCTAGACATCATTTGTTTTCAGTTTACTTTAGTTCAAAAAGCAAGACAGGTGAGAACTGTGTACTTTGAAAACGTTTCCTCGTATAATAAAAGAATAAGGGAGTCTCAAAAAATATGTATGTATGTATGTATGTTGTATAATTATCTCACAGGTTATCAGCTAGTGTCGGTTAAGATTGTCATAGTCATGCAAATTTAACAACCAATCGTTTAAAATCATTGACTTATTTGTACTAAAACCCTTAAGCGCCCAATTAAACACTACTGAAAAATATTAACTGCCTGTTGTTGATTAAAATATGTCCGAACGACAGGCCATTTGAACATACTTCTCACTTTGTCAAGATCATGATAATCGTTGCTGCGTTTTTTTTTTGTTTGTCTTTCCTCACTGAAAGCAGAAGCAAAATTGACTCGTGCAGCTGAACGTGACTTACAGCTATTCTGTCGAAAAACAGCATTTAAATGAATGGTTTTCACTGAGCTTTACGCGTTTTCCCTTCTTACGTAAGTAATTCTTGAATTTTTGACGCCAATATTTAACGTTAACATACGAGTTCGTTTCTGATTCTAAAAAAATTTTTGTATTATTTTTATACGAGACGAAAAACATCAGAGAGTTTCAGCGTTTATTGCGCCTGGCATTTTTTTTTTTCCTTTTTTTTTTTTACATATATTGATTGTAACGGAATAGCGACTATTCCTCATTCACGATTATTCAGACAGGCAAAAAACACCCGACAAGGCGTTGGCTGAGCTCTTTAGCAGCGATGCTACACAAAAAAAAAGGCACCTTCATTCTAAATTGACGACATATATTTTTTGCATGAATCGAAAAATACGTCTGGAGAAAAAAAAAATTGATCTGGCATCAATCAATTTAGTCGCAGATGGCCGGTAAAGACAGATGTCTTAGTATTCAAATTCTTTCTCATTCATCCAAGCGGCTAGAATGAATAAAGAGGACTTGTTAAATGAAATATACGGCTATAACGCTGAATAGCTCATTGAACGAACAGGAAGTCATATCTATAAGGGGATTACGCCTTTGTAAGCCTTTGCTAATTTCCTTTGTTGCTGGAAAGCTGATCAATTTTAGGCGATTCCTAGTTTTGAATTCCTCATTGCAACCAACAAACGGTGAGTTTCAGACACAGTTATACTCCAATTGCACTTAGAAAATGTTTCGTTTCTTCATGACGACACTAAAGATATGCCTATCACTAAGAAAAATAAAGAAGAAATCTAACCCTGAGCAAAAGTTAAAAGCGGCCGAGAAGAAAAACAACTGATTATTTTTGCGAACGATCGTTTCATAAAGAAAGCAAAACCTTTGGGAAACACTTTTTTAATCTCTCGCATTTTAGAATACATAATCATTAGCTTAGATTTCTCGATACTAACATTTCAAAAATATAGATAGAAGTAAAAGTTGACACAAAGCTGAATCGATGGAAAAATGATTTCATTTTAGCTCTAAATCGAACGTGGACTTTACATTCATTGTTTTTTTAACTGAAAATTTCTCCGTCTTCTGTTTCTGAACATAATCAAGCATTTGAGAAACGAATTCGTCCTTTCTGTTGATTATTCATTCAATAACACGGAAATACACGACAATAGTATATCCTTTAATGAAAAACGCTTTCCAGCATTGATCGGGTTGTCGTATGTAATGAATAAAGGCTGATAGTTTCTAAAGAAACTGTTTGGGGCTGCGTCGGTGGGAGTAACGAAATAATTTGAATATATCAACAAAGTTGAAATGGTAAATTGGCCACCATTACGATTATAAAAGCTGACGTTTCGAGCGTTAGCCCTTCGTCGGAGCGTTAGCCCTTCGTCGGAGCGAATATCAACTTTCTTGATATATTCAAATTATTGTCGTATGTAAATTGCGCAATGAACAATTACGAACATTAAAAATATTGAAAATGGCAAACACACGCCAAATCGGCCCCGATATCCAACATGGAAAACTCCTTCTAATCTTTTTAAAAAGGAAACTTTTTTAGGACGCGATCTGTTAGAATGACACGCATCTTAACAATGCATTAGTCGTAAAATAGTTTCTTGAAAAGATTTTATGCAGCGACTTTATGCAGCGAGCGGTTTTTTTCCAAGGAAAGTGAAAACGTCGCGTGTGTTTTAGCATAATGAAATAATGATTTCTTTTTTCCACTTGTCAAAACAAAGCAATTTTTGCAATTTTCTTCGGATTAAGTTACGTAATAGCAATATTTTGAGCATATCGGTAACATCTGATTGAATATATAAATTTCTCACATTTCAAACTTTGACAGAACCACTATTTCATGCTGAATTAAGAGTTTACACGAAATCTTTTTCTATTGAACGTATCCCACATCAAAATAAAGCTTTTTAAGTATTCCAGATTAAATAAGTTTTAATTGTTGCGTCATTCCTCTTTATTGGGGAACCGCAATGCTTGCAACCCCAACACGGACTATTTTGACGAGGTTTTTTCTTAAATGGATCTCGAAAAGTCTCCCAGTTTGATCGTCTCCCAGTCGCTCATGGAAATCCTTCAAGCTGCATCTTTGTCTCTTAATTTCAGACTCGCACCGAGGACCTTTTAGAATGATTCCTTCCAAAGTTCAAATGTTAACAAGCGCAATTGGAAGCCATCCCACCGTTCGCGTTATCCAGCGGAAACTCAACTTTGCAGGGTGGTCTTACAGAAGACTTAGCTGCGATGACCAAGAGGGACTGGAACCTCTTAAAGATGGCCCCTTTTTGCAACGTGAGACGGAAAATTATAGGGAAGAAACGTTCCAATATAGCAAATTACACTGTAGTGAAAATAATGATATTTTGGAGGGAGTGAAAATACCACGAAAAGGACACAAGGCTCAAGAAAGCAACTTAGAGCTATGCCTCGTAAGATCTTCCAGCAAGGGAAGCTCAAGGGAGGAGAAACAGGTTTGTGTTCCCCATGAAAACCGAAAAGCACATGTCATGATGGAGCCGCAAAATATCTCGAATATCCAGACTGGACGATTCCAGCGCAGCGAAAAGCTCTCTCATAAAATGCTAGGCACTTCCCCTGAGGTTAGAAAACAACAAACTTCCAAAACGGTCGACGAAGAACTAACGCCTGCGGACTCTGACGCTTTTGAGAGTTTCTGGAGAGAAACCGCAGACCCCTCTCCAAGAGTGGAGAAAAATAGACACGCAAAAAAATTTCAAAGTAAAAAACTGCAACTTGAGTCGGAAATTTTTAATGACACCCAATGTCTTTGTGACCAAAAGAAGAATTACTCTTCTGGAGTAGTTGACAAGTTATCAGACGCAAGTGAAGCAGGCAAAAAAGAGCTGGGAGTTATCTCTGACGAGAGAAAATCATATCAGGAAAAAAGTGTCCGGAAAATGGACGCCAGAAATAAAAACTATGGAAGACGTTCATGCTTTGGTAGCTCGAATAACTGTCTGGGAAGAGCAAAGAGTCTAAATTCGCTATTCAAACCACCAGGATTCTGTTACAGCAAACTGGGTGAGAAAGAGAAGGATAATCCTAAGGTTAAAAAGAGGCCTCAAACAGTAAAGTCAGCTCAAAAAGAAGGTCAGTTGGCTAAGTCGCCGTTGGAGCGAGTACCCAGTTGGTGGGGTGATAAACTTGCCAAAGAAAGACTTTCCCAACGGCGCTCCGCCGTATGCGACAACATTGAGAAGCAACTGAGGGACCAGTATGGTATCAGCTTACGTAACTTAAGGAAAAATTTAGTAATGGAGGAAGTCCTGCGAGAATGCGAATTGATATGAACCTAAGCAACTTCATAATGACCTTGCTCACCACAGAGTCTCTGTGGCTCAGTGGTACAGCATCGGAGCGCGGAATCCGAAGGTATGGAACCGGAATTCGAAGGTATGGAACCGGAATCCGAAGGTATGGAACTCGATTCCTCGTGGGAACTCAGAACTTTTCTTGTCCCACGCTCATGAAAAGACGAAAAAATTTTTTTACGTACTTAAGGAAAGCAGTTAAAACTACTCTTATAAACTGCTTAATAATTTACAGAGAAGTACTTTGCCGCCATATCTTAGATTCCGCGAAAAACCCGTCATGTAATAGGTCATAGAAATGGCCATGCGCAGGAGTTTCAGATAGACCTTAGACAATACAACAGTGACAACTCCCCTTGCATGGGCGTGCTTCAATGACAATTTACTGTGATAGCTAACGAAACAAAAGTAAGTTATTAAGGCTGACTAAGAGGATGACGAAAAAGCTCATCGTAAAATTTTTTCACCTAAATTTATCTAGAGACTAGCAAAGCTTTATTTCAGGTGGTAAATTATCCCATATATTAACAACGCTATAGGAAAAGGATCGCTGCCCTCTTCCATAATAATGGAATATATAATTGTTGCGAGTCTTTAGTCGCCCGCCCAGTTATGTTACCTCTAGAGATAACTTTGTCACCTAGATTCTCTGGGGCCATGCCCTCCATCCTTTTAAATGTCATAACTGCATCTAAAATATACACTGTTTTGATCAAAAATAAGACACAAACAGCACTGATAAACATATTGAAATTGCACATATGCATTTTGATTATGACTTGACGTTTCGTATGTACTCAACATACATTTTCAAAAGTTACCGTTAAAATTTAAAAGAGCTACGTATATATATAACTAAGGTGAGGGGACCAGAACCAAGATTAAGCCAAAAAAAAACTTAACAATAAACAATAACACTAGAGCAGATTAAAAAAGCAACAGCTTTTCTCTGGGAGCCGTCTCAGTCTCTTCAACACTGGAGATACATAGTCGTATTTCTTAGTATCAACTATGCGGGCAGCAAAATTTTGAACACTTTGCACCTTTGTAATGTTTGTACCGGTGGTGTTAGACCAAACCGAAGAACGATTGTACAATCTAATAAAAAACTAAAGCGTCTATGTTTGTTATTCGTAAATCGCACTTTAAGACATGTTCCACACGACTTGTCTGTTCTAATGCTGACATGCAAGAAAAGACGGTGTTTACAACATGATTATCAAAGGTCAAATTTTTGTCGAGGGTTACGCCAAGGTTCATAGCAGATTGAGTTGGTGCCTCCGTATTACATTAATTTGGTCTTCTCTTGGTGTATTAACAAACAGTTATTAAAAACACCAGTGGCGAAATCTTAAAAGGTCTTCATTCATTGCAGAAACATCATTCTTGCAATAATGTACACCAAACGAAATGTACGATTTGGTATCATCGACATAACAATCGGATAAACAGGTCTTGGGGCACAGTTGGTAGATCGTACATAAATGGTAAAAAGCAACGGCCCCAAGATGCTTCCTTGCGGGATTCCGCTGGCCAACGGTAGCGCATCCGAGAGTGTGAAGCTCATGGCTTCTTTCGGACAAATAGCTAGTGAATCATCTAAAAACTGATGTTGAAATACCGACCTCTTTTACTTTATTAACCTGCAATGAAAGCGACTTTTTAGGGCGAGCTAAAGTTAAGAAGCGCGATAGTTTATTCAACCGGCCATGTTTAATTTGGAGCTTAAGTCTACGGTAGGAGAGGGGGGCAGGAAGGGGCGAAAAGGGGCGCGGGTAATATTCACCCCCCCACCCTCATCTCCCTCCTTATTTTTTCACTGTCGCTCACCCCCTTGGTACAAATTTCTTTCCCTCCCCAACCTTGTTGATCATCCCGTGTTGGAAACGGTGCAGTACAAATCCACAATTTTATTATTTTTTATTATTTTAACCTCCCGCTTCCATTAAGAGCAAAGATGACCGTGACGGTCATGATTTTCGCTAAGAAAATACTCAACGCTCGCTCACCAAAATAGCCTATTTCCGAATTACCCTTGGACTCATTTTCAAAACGAGGCGGCCTGGTGCTCAACCACTCTTGTGAAAATGAGTTTAATTTGCATGTCAATGAAAACTTATTATCATATAAAACGATGAGCATCAGCACTCGTTTTGAAAATGAGGCCAAGGGTAATTTGGAAATGGGCTATTACGCATCACCCGCGGCTCTAAGTAATCGAAGGCCTTGCTCAGGTCCAAAAAGAACAAAAGCGGTTGTTTTCTTTTAGTCAATTACCAGCTGTCTGTTTCAACAAGTTTTCTTACGGCGGTTCTGGTTTGTCGATAACTGTTTGTTTAACACTAAATATGGTATGAATTTATTTAATTCTGTGCAATTCGTTCGCATGCCTTATACAAAATTGGTAGTGGTGATCTAGGGATGATCATGATTATTCGTTTTTTCGCTGTCACCTAGTTTTAATATTGGCGTTACCTCTGCTATTTTTCTAGATTTTTTGGAAGGTACCATATAAAAGAGGAGAATTGACGGTAAACAATTTTTCAAGACGCGTCATGTTCTTTCATCGTTCCCTGAAGTTTTTCCTGTTGGCATGGAAATAATTGTCTTTTCGATTTATTAATAATCATTATGTATCCCAAGATGGCTGCCACGCTCTTTAGAGCACTAGCAATATTGTGTCCTTCTGTCAGTGTGTTCGTGTTTGTTGGGGGTGAAACCTTTCTAATGGTTACCAAAGACAAGATTGTATTCATGGGGCGACGAATTTTGCATTCCGTATGCATTATTCCCGGTATTTGTGAGTAAAGAGGGCTGTCGCTAGATGGGACAGTCGTGGGTTGTTCCTTCTGGCAGCACCGGAGAAATTTGTTCTCCTTGATATCTCTATATCAGTGGACATTCATTCCAATCCTGGATGGGAGGATCGTGACAGAGATGCCGTTAATTCTCAGTACTAAACATGGCAAAACTGGTGTCCACCGAAGAGAGAATACAAGCATGCTGGACCGTTGTGATATTGTTAGGTTGCGTAAATCTGCTGGCAAACCTTTGGCTTCAGTGCTCTGGAGGTCTAAAAGAGTTGGGAATACTTAAATACAGAGGACCAGAGAAACGAAGGAACGGTAGAGGAAGTGACAAATTCGGCTCTAAGAAGTGTAGGTCGGAAAGAAAACAACCGATAGAGGTAGTAAGGAGTCGTCGCCCCGCTAAACCTCCTCCTCTCGAGAGCTATGGCTAATAAGACATGTCACCTCGATTCCTCGTGAGAAACCGTGCAAACCTGACAACAAGTCTGAGTTTGCGGTGCCGAAATGTATGTTCATTAATATCTGCAGTCTCTCCAAAATGAAGAACAAGGTGCGGGCGTCTGTTGCGCTGGAGGCAGTTTTGAAAAACCATGATATTGACGTGTGCATTGTTACTGAGACCCATTTAAGGCTAGACCAGCTCGATGCTGTGGTGAATATTGCGGATTTTAATTTATATAGGAGGGATAGGAACTGGTCAGGACTTGATATATGAGGAACAAGGGCGGCGTGGCTGTTAACGTCAAGAAAAACCTATCTGTTGTGGATGTTTATCTCTCAAAGCTTTATGAAGTAATCTGCATAACACTCTGCCTCCCTACGGGGCATAGATTTCTTCACCCGCCTAAACATAGTTATGCAGAGAACGATCTAATGAACTATCTTACTGACTACACGGATAATGTACTTGACGCCCACTCACAAACCGTCATTTTTCTGGGCGGAGACTCCAATCAGATGTACATGGAGGGATTACAACAATTGTCTGGCTGGAATGTACTGGTTGATTTCCCGACGCGTGGCGATTCGCACTTGGATAACTGTTTAACGAACCGGCCCGATTTGTTTGTAAGGTGTTGTTATAGTATGGAGATGTTCTGTATTGACTGTCCGTTTGTTGTGAGCCCGCGTAGTATGCAGCGGTAATGTTACCATGTGCTCTTATCAATATAATCTTGCTGTTGACTCGCCATCTTGTGTGTGTGTGCACTCTTCTGAAACCCCAAAAATATAACAGGTGTTACCCTTTTCATTTGTCAACAAAATTGGATCATCGAGGTGTGATTTTGCCTGCAAGATCTAAACTTCGCCCTGTGCGTCGTAAAGTTCACATCCGGGAAAGACGTCTACGCTGCAGGAGACAGGATTTGCACATGACTTTGGTAGAAGAGGACTGGCCAGAGGTACATACTTGAAACCAAGAATGTAAACGAGGTGGTGAACAAACTGGAGACAACTACACGAGGTCGCTTGGGTAGGTGTATGCCAGTAAGGGTGGTCACTATGTCGTCACGTGACCCTGCCTACGTGACCCTTCTTGTTAAAGCCATGTTGAGATCGAAATCGAGGGTGTCTGATGAAGTTCGGCTGAAAGTGCTGAATAACAAGATTTCGGAAGTGAGAACAGAAAGCGGTATAAACAGGGTGTGATCGGCTCGAAGCAACGGTGGAAAGGCGTTAATCTGGTATCGCAGCGAAGGAATGCCTCATTACCTTAGACCGTGAGTCACTAAACTAGTTAAACGAGTATTTCGGCAATCTATGTGCAACTACTAATATGTGGAATCTTTTTCTGTCAACTCATTCCTGGCCTGAATCTAGGAACCGAGCGAACATCAGTCCATTACCTAAGGTTGATGTAGAATGGTGATTTCCGGGGAATCAGTGTAACACCGGTGATTGCTAGAGCTCTTGAAAGGGCTGTATACAACACACATGTCAGACGCGTCATGGAGGATCACCTGAGCAGTAGCCAATTCGCGTACAGAGAGGGTGGGAATTGCACATCTGTACTCCTAGCTATTCAGCACCAGATTTGCAAATACCTAGATGATGACAACTGTAAGGCTGTGCGACTTTTTGCCATGGACTTTTCCAAGGCATTTGACTCGGTGAAACATAATCTCTTGTCTACCAAGCTTAACAAATTATATGTATCTCTATACCTTGTTAACTGGTATCACAGTTTTTTATCCGGTAGACATACAGCAACGCATTTCGTCTGGTAACTATCACTGAAGGTGGAAAGCCGTCAATAAGGTTACTACACAAGGTAGTGTTAGTGGCCCCCATCTCTTTAGTATTTTTCTCAACGATCTTGAAATTACATATGATGGCTTTCCTCATTATTCAAATATGCTGATGATTCGACAATCGTTGCACCGGTACTAGGCAATACTGATACCTCTGTAGCCTTAGTAATGAGTCAGTTTTAAATTGATCGCGAGATAACTGTGTGTCATGTAATCCTTGTAAATACAAAGAGCTTGTAATTAGAAAGAAATCGAACAAGAACACCTATAAACCAGTCAATTGCATTCCACAACATGATGAATTGTGCTTACTCGGAGTCACACTTCAGAGTGATTTTAAGTTTAGTTCTCATGTTATGGTCAAACTAGTCAAGGCTAACAAGTGCCTCCTTACATAAGAACTTTGAGAAAGGAACAATATGACCAGAATGAAATAGACTGATCTCCTTTTTAAGACAATTGTATTACTGACCTAATTTAAATTATGCCCTCTCAGTGTATGGTGCGTATGAACCCGATCTAAACACGGTACAGAACTTTTTAAACAAATGTCACAAGCAGCGTTATACTTCAGTTCCAATGAATGTCAAGGATATCATTCATATGCAGGATAAGAAATTATTGAGTGGCGCTAGGGCCCTAAGCCATCATCCGTTAAATGAAATTCTACCGAAGCCCAAACCCCAGCAATATAATTTACGTCGCAAGGTTTGCCTCCGC